TTGCGATCCATTGCCGGACACGAAAAAAGACAAAAAGGAAAAAAAAAAAAAAAAAGAAGAGTCTGATCTTTGTCCTGCAGTCAAAGGAAAGTGACAATGGAGGCTTTTAGCTGGAGGGACATGGTCAGGTCTGTGTTTTAGGAAGACCCCTCTGGCTGCATGTGGACAGTGGACTGAAGGGAAGGCACAGGAGCAGGGAGGCCTCAGAGGAGTCCAGTCCTGCAGTCCCGGGGCAGGTGATGAGGCCTAAACAGCGGCTTAGAGAGGGATGGAGACAGGAGGGCACCTGCCTCTATGAGGCCACTTAACCTCACGGTTGAGTGCACATACACCAACCCAGAGTCCTGGGTTCCAATCTAGATCCTTTTGCTTACGAGCAGTGGGAATGGGACTTGCCAAAGTCTGGAGTCCTGGAATGAGGTCGCAGCTGGAGTGCACACTGATACTGGGGAAAGTGGTAGTTGGAGTCCTGGGAGTATCTTGCAAAGACCACTAGGCTTAGCTGTGCCCTTTGACTAGGACTGGTAGAGGCAGGACCCCAACCCTTGCTGGGTCTCCTTTTCCTTCCCTACTTTCAGAGACTGTTGCCTGTTGTACCTAAAAGCTCCCTAGACCTGTCAGACCCACCTGGGGCCAGGAAGGCAGGCCACCCCCTCGCAGGCCAAGCAGCCCCAGGGAACCCACTGGGTCTACCTGTCACCTGGAGTGAGGCCAGCGTTGGGCTGAGCAGTGGAGGATGGGGCCAGAAATAGGACACTCACCCCTCAGATGTCCTCATGATGTCACAACCTGGAATCCCACTTCCATCCTCCCTCCTGGTAGACCCAACCCAACTTCCTCCTCAGATCAGGATGCAGCTGGCTTTTAATATTGGAAACAAATACCTGGGCTGATGGGCTGCACCTGTCCCTCTCCTAAAGCCAAGTCCCCAGCTACTGCCACCTCCCCAGCCCTGACACAGCCCTGCCAAAAGGCCCAGATTTCCTCAGAAGCAGCCAGATTCCATCGTAAACACTTGGAGATGGCTCTCTGGAGAGGACACTGAGCTCGGATCGGTGGAGCGACACAGATATTTGAAACCCAGTCCTTACTCTCAAGTTGCTGAGCCTTTTATGAGGAGGAGGCTGGTTAGCACTGGTTAGAATTCCACTACATGAGAAGCATTTGACATGTGTGATTTGCTTCCCCACCTGCCTCACCACAGCCCTGATCATGGGGGACGTTGCCAGTGCCCCGCCCCTCCCTGCCTCAGCCACGCTCCAGCTGTGGATGGGAAAGGCCTCTCTGGCCACAGCTGGATGGACCAGGGCTGAGCTGTGAGCCAGGGCAGCCACCCATTGGCTGGCCCACCATCTGTGAGGTGGCCTGGTCCAGGCTCTCTGGTGAGAGGAACCAATCAGCTTGTCTCTCTGAGGAGAATGAAGCCACAACATGGGGGTTGGGGGCAATGACTCGAGATCATTGGGACATTGGAAGGATTAAGTCATAGGGGAGTCACAGGCATGACAGAAGGGGGTGTTGTTTTGTGGTCACTAGTTTCGATGATATCCCAGATGGAACCAGACAGTATCTTTGTTCTCTTACTTCTCAGGGTATCTTGACAAAAACCCTTGTTGACTGAGGTCACCTTGATATAGGAAGTGCTCAGTTTCCCTGGGTTTGGGTTTCAGCCCTCCTGGAGGTCTCAGGCCCCCTCCTCTGGGCTCTCCCCTGGAGGTAAGTTACTGTTGCCAGTTAGACTTTTTTTCGGCACCAGCACAGGGAAAATGAGACCACAGGGGGCTGGCTTATGCTAATCTAGTTGCTGGGCATGCTTGGTAGAGAGCACAGAATATTCTTGAATATGCCTGGTGCATGTAATGCAATTTGACCAAAAAAACATGCTTTAGGAAGAGACTGACTGAACGTGTGCAAGACTAAATGTTACATAACTGGGAGCCACCCCCTTAGCTGAATATTCATTAGATAAACTACAAAAGCCGAATCCCACTTGGCTGGCTGAGGTGTTCGTGCTTTACTTTGTATGGAACTTACTCTCAGCGAGGGCTGCTCACTCTCTTGAGCCAGCCTGCGCTCTGTACTGAACTTTGAGTATGTTTTTCTTGCTTCTGTGTTAGACTTGATGTCTGAACTGAACCTACTTTTGTGTTAGACTTGGTGTGGGCCCTGCTCAGTCTCTGGAGCATGCCGCACTCTCTCCGTGGAACCTGTACTTCTTATCTATTTTATTAAACCTGTTCTCACTTTCTACTGTGACTCTGCCCTTGAATTCTTTCCTGTGGCAGAGTCAAGAACCTGGGAAGAGGACGGGACGGGTTGAGGCCGACTGTCGGGCCCCCCGGACCCTACCTCTGACATCAACCTACCTGGGCTTCATTTCCTTGCAGCACCAAAGAGTTTGTCAAGCAGAAGCCCTGGGCATTAATATCACCGTTTTACAGATGAGTAAAGTGAAGTTCCATGAAGGCTAAATGTTAATAGCATGCATGTAAAAGTAGTGAAGGAGACAGCTGCAAGGGTCTAGCCCACCGGAGAAACACTTAAGAAATGAGCAATAATTGCTGGAACCAACCTTGTTGGAACTCTGGGAGAAAAAGGTTTACAGCAACCAAGTGAATGATGCTGAATCAAGAAATAGGCAACTTTGGGCCGGCCCGTGGCTCACTTGGGAGAGCATGGTGCTGACAACACCAAGCCAAGGGCTAAGATCCCCTTACCAGTCCCCTTTAAAAAAAAAAAAAAAAAAAAAGTTCATGGAAAAATTCACATTATCTTTTAATTCTTTTGTTTGTTTTAATTCTATTTTTCCATGAACTTTATATTGCTTCAATTTCTTTTAGGTATATGCCAATTTAGATTTTATATTTCTCTTTATGTGAGTTTTGATAGATTGGGCAATTTCTCTTCTTATTTTTCCTTTTCTTTCTTTCTTTTTTTCCCCTGCTTATTTTGAATTTAATTTGCTCTTCTTTTTTAGTTTCCTAAAGTAGAAGCTTAAATTACTGATTTTAGATATTTCTTATTTTCTTATATGTGCATTCAGTGCTCTAAATTTCCCTCAAACACCACTTCTGCTGAATTCCACAAATTTTGATAAGTTGAATTTTTAAAATTTCTCGTGAGGCTTCTTTTTTGTCCCATTGTTCTTTATAAGTGTATTGTTGATATGTAAAATCAATTATGTTTCAATTAAAAAGAAGTGTGTTATCTCCAAATACTTTGGGCTTTTTCCCAGCCAGCTATCTGTTATTGATTTCTACTTTAATTCTATCATGACCTGAGAGCATAATTTGTAAAATTTATATTCTTTTAAATTTGTTAAAACATGTTTTA